AACAATACTAGTCCCCCAACATCACATTACTAGCCCCCAAATCATAAGATCACATTACTAATATACTCCCTAATGTTTATGTGGTTATTTGAGGCGACCCTCATCTCGGCGTTGGTGCTTCGAGTTCACCCTCCAAGTTCCAAATCTATAAGGTACAATCCACCCTCCTAGTTCCAAATCTATAAGGCACAATCCATGCGGTAATTTGTTGGGGTCGAATTCAGGGCCAGGTGAATCTAGGCACCGACTTTTGGAATGATGGTTCGCTTTGCATCGGTTTTTCTTTAGTGTCCTTTGGATCGAATTCAGGCCAGGTGAATTAGAAGTAAGCCTTAATTGTATGGTATAAAGTGGGCACCTAACTTAAAATTAAAAAAAAAAGATATTTTTTAAAAAAACAAAAGCAATCTTTAATCACCTGGCCGAATATGTTTTCCACACGAATGTGGCACTTGAATCTCCTGATCTTATCTTGATTTCTGGAGATAATGCCGCTACTATGAGCAATAAACCTCGAGGAAGCCCTAATTTGATGGCTAGCTGTGTAACAATTCAAAGAACTATGTAATGTATACATCTTTGATTGAAAAGAGAACAATACCTCTCAAGATCAATCTCTATCCTCCTTTTTTGCCTCTCCTTTTTTTTTCCTGAATCTTAGCATGATACCATTTCATTAATATATGGCATTGTAAAATCTCAACCATTGAAAGGGCGCTTGTGCACCCATCCACCGTCCACTTTCTTCATCCTGTTGATTTACCAATACCTTACCTAAATAATGTTGGAATTTTTGAGACACACCTTCGAGTTTCTTCTTTGTTGCTGATGTGACTTGAGGTTTTAATATTATGTTAGCAATTGGGTTTCCAACAATATGCTGAAAGTCCCTCAACCACCCAATGCCAGAAAAGGAGGGTTGAGGCGCGCCGAAGTCCTCGAATTAGGGCTTCGAGCATACTGTTTGAACCCAAATTCTATCACGATTTTCACAATAGCGTATTGACACAGTTAAAAATTCGAGTGATTTACGAGTGGATCAGAAATTTTTACCTAAAACACGAAATGGGGCAATTTTGGGAGAAAATTACGTGACAGGTCGGTCAACATCATTTTTTTATTTCTTTTCAAAATTTCCTTTGGTTCGAGGATCTTCGCATCGCATTTTAAGTTTGTTTTCTTTAGTTTTTTTTGTTAGTAGGGCAATGCCTAGGCGGTTCGAGGTTAGAATCCTCGAACTGCCCTCTGGATTGAGCAAGCCTCAATTCCTGAGTGGTCCGAGGTCCCCATCCTTGGACGACTCTTTTTTTTTTTTTTTGAGAAAACAACGGTCCAAGGTCCCCATCCTTGGACCGCGCTTTATTTTTTATTTTTTGATAAAAACGGCGGTCTGAAAATTGCGACCTCATACCGCTCTCTTGATTATGGACCGAGTAGAACTCATTTCCAGGGCAGGTAATTCTTTTGGATCCATACATGAATGATTTACATCCAGACCTTATAATTTTTTCTAACTAAATCCTATTTATAAGTGGAAATTCAAAAGAAGGTCGGTCAAGTTTCCTTTTTTTTCCAAAAATCCCCTCTGTTTGAGGGCATCCTCGAGCTGAATTTTAAGTTATTTATTTTTGTTTTATTATGGTTAATAGAATACTGCTCTAAAGCTTGTGGCATTTCCCTGTTACCGAAAAAATAAAAAAAATAAAAAATAAAATTTAGATTGATGATTCCATCCTTAGACTGAAAGAAAATTTTGAAGAAAAAAAAAAAGAAAAGTGGGTTGATCGACCTTTGTAATTTCGGCCTATAAATAAAGCATTTCGTATTTCGAAAATAATTTTAAGATCCGCACATAAATCACAGTGGCCCTTGTCCCTATAGGGCCCTGCTATGGCCGAGCCGGGCCAAAAACAAATAAAAAAAATATATATATATAATTAAAAAAAAAAAATGCTGAGCCCGTCCGGCAATGGCTTTGAGCTGGGCCGGCAATGACTTTGATTCGGACAAGGTCCTACGGCATTGCAGCGCTATGTCTATGGTACACTTTGCCCCTTTAATTTGATTTATTATATTGTTTTGTACTTGAGGTGAAGTCCGTGACCCGGGAAGGTAAGTGGATATAATTAAAAACACATGTCAAACAACAAATGCTTCATTCATGCAAACCTCAATCAATCAAGGAATGCGTCAACCCCAACAATCTATAAATATGCTCCCCACTGTTTCCCATTTTCTCTCCTCTCCTGCCATTGAACAAGTACATTTAGTTGTTGTCATAGTAGAGAGAGAGATGGAGATTCATCAAAAGTTTTTAGTTTTTTACCATTCAAAGATAGAGAAAGATTCATAATTTTTTTTTTTTGTAGTTTTTTACCATTCAAAGAAGAGAGAGAATCATTTTTATCAGTCAGAGAAAGAGAAAGAGATTCATCAAAAAATTTTACCATTCAAAGAAGAGACAGAGAGAGAGAGAGTTGCTTGTAGTGTTTCTCTATTTGAAGGAGATGGGCTTGGTGGGGTTCCTTGTTCTGATAATTCAGATCCATTTATTTAGTGTGTGGGCTTCATGTGAGATTGACTACACAAGCTTTCCACCGGGATTTCTTTTTGGCACTGCAGCATCTGCGTACCAGGTCTCTACAACATTGCATGAACTCGTTTAGCAACATAATCTTTTTTTTTTTTTATGGAAAATGTTTTGATAGGGCTACAATCTTATTGAAATAAGTAAAGCCTCACCTCAAAACTTGCCAAAAATTCTTGTTTTGGTATTAGAAAACCTTCAAATCGATCAGCCTTAACTATTATGGTTGGGAAAAAAATTGAGATTTCAAGTTCTAAAAATAATGTGTATTGTAGCACAACATCTAGATCGTCTATTTCATCCTAAAAATGAGTGTTCGCGGATCCCCAAGATCTCTACTATTTTTTGAGCTTCAAATTTTATAGCTAATGTTAGAAGTTGATTTTAGATCCATCATGGAGATTTTTCAATACCCAAAGTGCTTTCTAGACAAAGATTCGAGATGAAGTTTTACTTTGTTTTCATAGAGCCTAGACCTTGTAAAATCTGCAATGGTTTGCCTCTGAGAGGGAGAATGACTTAAAATACCTTGAAAACCTTACTAAAAAGGAGCAACATGACATAGAAAGATGGGAGACCGTGGGTGTTTTCTGTTTTCTTTCCAACACTTTCCATTGCTAAATCTAGGAGCATAGGGTCCTTATTTAAATTAGAGAGTTTTGCCCTCCAAAATTTATTGTCTGAACTGTTCATGAAGAAATAGGAAGTGTTTTATTTCAAAGTTATTTTTATTGATTTTGGGGTGTTTATGACTTTGGATATAGAGTTATTTTTTAACTATTTTTTACTGAAAAAATACAGTATGAAGGAGCCTTTTTAACTGATGGCAAAGGTCCGAGCAATTGGGATGTCTTCTCTCACATTCCAGGTAAAGAGACTACTTTTTCTTAGGGGTGGGAATGGGGTTGATTCAACCTGAACCACGTTCAAGTTTGGGTCCAAGTGTCGAACCCAACAAGTCAGGTCTAGGTTTGGGTTTGGATTGGATGCCATCAGGTCAGGTTGGGTTGGGTCCGGGTTAACCCAACCTGAACGAACATGGTATGTATAAGTATAAAATATACAAGTAAAATAATATTAACTATATATTACCAAATATAAAATAAATTTTTTTATCCTTTTTATTTTGAGACCCAGACTCGACCTGATTAGGTTTGGCATTCAACTCCCCACAACACCCTTTTTTTATCTTTTTTTTTTTTTTTTGGTAATTCAATGGAGAAGACACGCCCTACCCGATTCTTTTTTTTTTTTGGTAATTCAAAGGAGAAGACATGCCCTACCCGTTTTTTCAAATAGGTTAGGAATTAATTATTTGAAATTGTTAGTAGAGGTTTTTTTTTTTGGTAATTCAATGGAGAAGACACGCCCTACCCGTTTTTTCAAATAGGTTAGGAATTAATTTTTTTTGAAATTATTTAGGAATTAATTTTTTGAAATTATTAGTAGGGTTTTCAAATAGGTTACGAATTAATTTTTTGAAATTGTTAGTAGGGTGGTAATGAGAACTGTGACGTGACGAATAAGTTCTGGGTGGGCTACCACTACAACCCCATCCCCATTTCCGACCCTTTCTTTGTTTACTTGTCTATACGAAATAGATTCGAAAGGAAATTAAGGGAAATAGTTTCTCCAAAAAAAAAAATTGTTTTTTAGAGTAACGATCATACGAGACCTGTCCACATCCATGTGTGTAAAACTCAAAAAATCACCCTTAAATTTAACACATATCTCTAAAAAAACTAATCCCATGGGTGTGAAATTTGATATTTCTAGAGATATATGTTAAATTTAATAGTGATCTTTTGGAGTCCCGTAGAAGGGCTCAGATCATTAATTTTTTTTTTAATTAAAAAAATAAAAAGCAAAAAGACAAAGGTTTGATTGATAAATATATATATATATATATATGGGTTGTTTGGCAGGGAGGATCGTTAATGGGGATAATGGAGATTTTGCAGTTGACGAGTACCATCGTTACCAGGTTAATAACGTAACACTCTACACGCGGCCCTATTGGCTCCGCATGACACGCGGCCGCGCCCTAATGGTTCTGACTGGGGCATAATTGTTATTTGGAAAATAGTTTGATAGGGTTGCGGCCCTATCAAAATCATAGTTAGCAAATCGGTGTTTTAAGCGCGATTTTTTCAAAAAATCGGAGTTTTTTTAAAAAACGTCTTAAACTGCGTATTTTTTAAAAGAACGTAAAAAAAATCGTGCTTTTTTAATGAAGAAGTTTAATACACGATATTTTAATTTTTATAAGAAGTCATTTAAAAAAAACGTTTCTATCAATAGTCCTCCATGGTACACACATAGAGAAACATGTGATAGAGAAGATCTCGTCAATGGGTACAGAGAGAAAGATAACCATCTCAAAGAAATTAGGAAAAAACAGAGATAAAGAAGTATAAAAAATCCCCAAATTGAACTACATCACAAATGCTTGATGGGTATGGAGATCGATAGATATAGAGAGAGAGGAAAAAGAGAACCACTGGTTATATTGCAAGCTTTAGAGAAAGAGAACCACTGTCTATATTGAAGTATAAATTTAACATTAGCTTTTAAAAATCCCTAAATTTAACAACATTTCAAAGAAATTATAGAGGAATAATATGATGGAGAACTTCCAAATGACATAAAAAATCCCCAATTTTAACATAACTCAAAAATCCCCAAATTAAGATAGCTCAAAGAACATATTAGGAAAAATAAACTAAGGAAAAACATACAAAGGGATTTTTCCTAAACCTGATTCAATCCATCATATTAAAAAATACGGCATGATTCCCATCTGATTTTCTTCACAAGAAGTTCACCATCAGCTTCAAAAAGACAGCAGCATTATGATTAAGAAGAAAGTCACCCAATTTGCTCTTCTGTGTTCCTTTGAGAGATGCATGGTCACCCCACACCCTCGCTCTCTCTCTCCATTTCTTTCTCTGCATCCACCTCTCTCTCTCCCTCTGCATTTCTTTCTCCGATGCCACCTCCCTCTTTCTCTCTCGGTCAAAGGAAACGGTCACCCCCCCCCCCTCGTCTTCTCTCTCTAAAAGTGTAAATATAATATAAAATGATGGTACGGTGCATATTGATATAATTAGTATGGTGTATAGTTAGTAAGGTGAGTATGGTGTATAGTTCGTATGGTGCATAGTTAGAATAGATGACTATAGTATTATCATAGTTAGCATAAATAAGGTGCCCCTTTTTTAAACTTATCCGTATTTTTCACTCCAATTTTTTGAGCCTAGTCCGCTATATTTGCGACATTTTTACATAAGTCTTTTTGCCGATCCGTATTTTTTACTTGATTTTTTCATCCGACTTTTTAAAATAAAAACGATTTATTTCTGATTTTATGGTGAACCGATATATTGATATTCCCCGACTTGCTAACTATGATCAAAATAAGTAAAGTCTCACTTTATAACTCATCGAAAATTGAAATTCAAGCATTAAAAAACCTTTAAGTGGATCATCTTGGCTTAAATATTATGGTTGTTGAAAAAAATTTAGGATTTCAAGCTCTAAAAATAGTGTATATTATAACAAATTATCTAGACCGTCCATGTCGTCTTAAAAATAAGTGTTCTTGTATCAACAAGGTCTTTATCATTTTTTGAGATTCAAATTTATTGTCTCTGTTGGAAATTGATTTTAGAGCCTTGGATACGGTTTGTATGAGCCCATGTAGAAATAAGTACCTTTTAAAAGTTTATTTGTGAGATGGATTTTGGGACCTAATTTTTAATAACATATAATCTCCGACAAGGAGATCATGAATATGAAAATATAAATAGATTAAAATAAAATAATAATTTTGTAAAGAAAAATTTGGACCTTTAGTTTCAACGGTTTTTAGATAGACCACCTATTTGCATCCATCTTTAAAGATTGATGCTTTGTACGTCGTGAGACGCAAATATAGAACTGTATCCCCCATGCATGAAACAATATTCCATATATGATTGACGGTTAAAATTGCCAATCTCTACGGACTTTAAAGATGCCAAAGTTGGGATTATAAATGATGTTAAATTCTAGTTTTGAGATTGCAAGAAGTAAAAGAGAAGCAAAGTATCAAATACACAGTGTCCGGCTATTCAGGCGAGTCCGCTCGAACTCGCCCAAGAATATCCTGAGTTGGGTGTTCAACTCGGGAATCTTTAAAAGATTAAAAAATAATTATAACAATTTTGAAAAAAAATAAGGATTCTATGTATAACATATTTTTAGTGTTCCATCATTTTGGCAAAGATGGATACTTATTTCACGTTTTCCCTTTTTTTGGATTATTTTAAAAATATTTCCAATCGCAAATTGATTTTTCAAAATCTATTATTTTACTATGTTAATCTCATTTAGATGTGTTTTATTTAATCTTACTTTGAACATATATTTCTTACTTTTTTTGAACTTTTTTGTATTTTTTATTATGTTTTTACATTATTTAGCTTGAACTGTACTCAGCCCATAATTGGGCCAAGTTACTCGAACTCAAACTGAGTACACAGCCAAAGTCGAACACTGGACACAAACACTGACACTGGTGTCGTGTCTTTGATACGTTGACACGCCCAAAAAACCATAGACATATGCCCATTTTACGTACAAATACACGCAAATATGTGGGTATATGTGAATATATAAAGGAAAAAGTTTATATAGAGCCGAGGCTCTAAACAATCAAATTAAAACCCACCTCCAAAATTTCATTAGAAGAGGTTGTTTTGATGTCCAAATATCCTCAAATTGATCATCTCAACATCAAGATGTATAGACATGAGAAAAAAATAGATTTCATGTTTTGGAAATAGTGTACATTGTAATGCATTTTTGGGCCGTTGATTTTCAAGATTTTCAAGTTTTCATAAATCTACTCGACCTACACTATTTTTAAGGGTTTTAAATTTTATAATTAGAGATGAAAATTTATTTTAACGCTATCACAAAAATTTTCAATATTGAAACCACATTTCTCGACATTATTTGAAGGTGCGCTATACTTTCATTGCTTAGAGCCTCAGCGCTATGCAAACTGCACCCAGATTTAAATGCTTGTTGGCACACAAGCATAATGCGGAGTTTTGTCAAGACAAAATAGTTTATGTATTCGTATGGTGCATGCACCTGCACTATGCACATGACAGGAAGACATTGAGTTGATGCATTCTCTTGGGGTGAACACTTATCGCTTCTCCATCTCATGGGCAAGAGTCCTCCCAAGTGAGTTCATTGTTTTAAGGAAAAATTTGTTCCAAGAATTATTCAAGGTTGTTATACTCTAAAACCCTTTTTTTTTCCCAACAAATAAAATAAAATAAAGAAAATAAAAATCAACTCTCTCAATATATTTTATATCTCAAATAAAGGAGGAAAATTTGGAGGCATAAACCCTGCTGGCATCAAGTACTACAACAAGCTCATAGATGCACTAGTGAAGAAAGGTACTTCTAATTAAACTCTTTTTTGTTTTTTCTAGGAGTTCAAAGTTACTCATGTTTCATCTCCCTTTGTGATTTATGCCATCATCTTCATGGTTATGCTTACACATACATTGCCCATTGCGGAATTATCATATTTTCATAGGAATCCAACCCTTTGTAACGATAAACCATTATGATATTCCACAAGAGATAGAGAACAGATATGGATCATGGCTCAGCCCTTTGATAAGGTACCCAATTTTCTAACATTGGCATCTGTGCATGTAAATTTCATGCCTGTGCAGTCGTCTATACATTCATGTATGTATGTGTACATGCTAGCATGCATATTTGTATCTTTGTTCATATGTAAGCATGTATGCACGAATGCATTCATACCTTTGTTCAATATCTCTTATATAAATCACCAAATCATAAGTCTACATGACATGGCTGCATACATAACATACATGCATACCCACAGATATTGCAACTTCATATATGCATAGTTATTAGTGTAATAGAGTTTTATGTGGATGATTTGACAAATACCCACCTGCGCTCTACACATTAATGTAATCATGGACCTTCATATATATGAATGCATACATGTATGCATTCATGCATGTTGGTATATGCACATATCTATGTATGGATGTTCCACATACCTATGTATGTGAATATGCATGTATTATATATATGAATTTACGATGTTTTACTTTTGAGCAGGCTAGATTTCGGACACTTTGCCGAATTGTGCTTTAGAGAGTTTGGGGACAGGGTGAAGTATTGGGCTACACTGAATGAGCCTAACATCGTGGTGAGGTTCGGGTACATGAGTGGCTCCTACCCACCTGCCCATTGCTCTGTGCCCTACGGAAACTGCACAGATGGAGACTCAGATTTCGAGCCATACATGGCATCCCACAATGTCATCCTCTCTCATGCGACTGCGGTTGATATCTATCGAAGAAAGTATCAAGTAAAATACTGTTTTTAGAATTTTGATTATTTAAATTCTAAGCAATGTGTTTTTTGAATGTTCTCATTTATTAGTAGTTATTGCAGTTAGATTAAGGGGTGAGAAGTAGCAAACAGAGGAAGTGCAAAGAGCAGTTTCCTCAAAATATTGCATCTGTACCTCTGAAACCTTTTTATCCAAACTCTTAATCTACTTATCCAAGAAAGTCCTAGATGCAGTATAGGGCCGTCCCTTCCTGAACATGACCATCAGAGCAGCTAGCCTGAGGAGCAAATAATTATTTTTTAAATAAAATTGAAATCATGTTCTTACACCATATGTAAACAAAATCCCTTTTTCTCTTCCCAAATGAGGCAATGGTTCATTGCCCAATTACTATCTGCTTCAATGGAGTTCAATGGACCTTTATGTTCATGAAATGGTTTTAAGTTTGAACATTATTAGAATATGTGATATCGATATCTCCTGTGACTGTACGTCTCCATGGAATGGTTTTAAGTTTGAAAATTAGAATATGTGATCTTGATATCTCCTGTGAATGTACTTAGAGAAAAGGGGGGGTGGGATGATTTGTTTAGCTCTTTATAAACATAATTGATGATTTAGTCATTTTTCTTAAATTTTTGGGGCTTCAGTTCTACAATAACCCTTGAAAATTGCTAAAGTTTATCAAGATGCATCTCACTTTTATGGATCGTGAAACTGTTCTACGCTGCATGATTTAATCTTATTGATTTTCCTCCCTTATTTTGGGGGAAAATTTTCAGGAAAAGCAAGGTGGATCCATTGGAATAGTGATCTGTTCTTATTGGTTTGAACCGCTTAAGGACACCCCTGTTGATCGAATAGCTGCCCAAAGAGCCCTGGCATTCGAGTCTGCCTGGTAAGTTGTAAATACTGGTGAATAACTAGAAGGAAACACACTCCCATGAGCCCCAGTTAGAAAATAAATAAAGTTTCTTATATACAAAAGAATAGAATGTTTAGAATTTGGGCCTGAGGCAATAGTTAGAAGTTCATCAACAATGTGAGCAACAGACAGATGGGGCGTGTTTGCTACTCTGAACAAAGGCCAAAAACTGTCCATAGACATCAAACATTTAAGGAGCTACTAGCACACTTTTTGAAACAGGTTGAAGAGTTGTTGGTATACAGTTTGAATCTCATATGCTAGCATTTATAAAACCTTTTCTGTTAATAAAGTAAAATTATTTTCAAGAGAAGTTTTTGTATCATTTATAAAACCTTTTCTGTTTATAAAGCAAAATTATTTTCAAGAGAAATTTTTGTATCATTTATAAAACCTTTTCTGTTTATAAAGTAAAATTATTTTCAAGAGAAATTTTTGTGTCATGTAACTCGAAGTATTCAACTTTTCTTAACCGAACAGGAATGAAATTGACACAACATAAAAGGTAGTTTTGTGGTTCGGGATCCAAATTTGATAAGCTATGGGGTTATATTACACCACTTCTGCTCTTTCCAATGTGCATGTTAACCCTCTACCCTGAATAGGAAATCAGGGATAGGTAGCATGTTATCTAAGTAAGAGGACGGTAACATGGTGGCCCATAAATATTGTGATATTATTTGTTGTACACTAGATATCTTTAGGCCTAGTTTGGATCAACTCTTTAGGTTTGTTCATGTGGAATACGATTCTAGATACGCGCTAAACAAGCTTTTTTTTTCTTTTTCCCCCTCATGAGGCTATGTATGTTTAGCTGCAATCTGTGGCATTTTTCAGACAAATGAGGTTCGAAAAGGGAGGGAAACAGACATGTTGCTAATGATTTCCTGCACTAACATGTTAAAAAAGAATTAGAAGTCCCATTTATCAGTCCACCCAAACGCGACCATAAAGGTTACGTCCTCGGCCTTCAATATATTAGGGCTTACATCAAGAATGCATTAGGTGCATGTTAGAATCTCTTTATTCTGATGAAACAAGTAAAATCTTCTCATTAAAACTCCAATTCCTTTGATTTCAGGTTCTTGGATCCAATTGTATTTGGGGATTATCCTCCAGAAATGAGGCAGATACTGGGCTCCCGCTTGCCTCGATTTTCCAAGGAAGAAAGGAGGAAGCTGCAAAATGGGTTGGATTTTATAGGGATCAACCACTATACCAGCCTATATGTTAAGGATTGCTTGTTCTCTGAGTGTACATATGGAATGTCTAGCATTGAAGGGTTCTACTCCATGATACTAGAAAGGGAAGGAATCCCCATCGGAGAACCTGTAACCACTCATCCTCATGATACCTCATACATACATACATACATACATCTTCATCATGTCCCTACATGGAAGCAAATTTTTTTTGAGTAAATGTGTGAATGTCAGTGGTTACCAGGAATGGCCACTGTTCTATGGTAGATAATACACCACAATCTCTAGTTTCTAACAATTTATACAAAATGTAGTAAATAAAATGTGGTTATATTTGTTAAAAAATTTCATAGGCCAGGGGTTTTTTGAACATGTACCATATGAATTATACCACATAAGCTTTAGGGAGCCTAGAAATTAAAGGAAAGGTAGTAAAAGGAAAGTCATTATATATATGGGATCAAGGGATAAAAAGTCTATGATATATGATATCACACAGTCCTAGAATTTAACATATATGAAAGGAAATTGCAATGCTCTTTATGGACTTCATAACCTAAATGACTAATTTGACCTTAATTCTTAGCAATTTAAGTTCCTAAGTTTATATGATTATTTAGAGTGAGTAAAAAATAATTGTTGATAGTTTTTCCCACCCATGGAACTATAAATGTCTTCTTTGGCCCAATAGAGATAACAAGAGAACTCTAATATTTGTGTTCTATTCCCTCAATAAATTACAACACAGATCATGAGAGATATTGTCACATTTTAGATTATCTAATATGAAATACATCCACCATTTACATTAATTACTAGATTGTACAATCAATGCATATACATACAGTATCTGATATTAGGCATTTATGCATGCGTGCATGTATTTCAAATGTACAAAATGGAATTATGCATGGATGCATCGTATGTAATTTATGCGCATGCATGCTTCTATGAATGTAACCATGTTGCATATGAATAGATTTAGGAGTTTGTGATTGATATTAGGGTTAAAAGTTGAAAGTAAATTGCCTCAGTCATTGAGAATGTGTGCACTATTATTCATTCATGTAGACGGCGATGACAACATTCTATGTGTATCCACAAGGAATGGAGAAGATCGTGATGTACATGAAGGAAAGATACAACAATCTGCCCATGTTCATTACTGAAAATGGTCAGACAGTGCAATCAAAGATAGTTGCTTTCATTTAGGCATACATTTTGCTTGCCCATAACTGAAAAAATTTGAGTGTTTCTCTTGTTAGGATATGCCCAAGGGAGCACCCCAAAAGCCAAAGCTGAAGAATTTGTAGACGATGCTGAGAGAGTGAAGTATCTCGGCAGCTACCTGGAGTCCCTTGCAAATGCCATCAGGTCTCTCTCTCTCTCTCTCTCGCAGCAGAGAGATCTACCATGTGCATGTGTGAGAATGTTCGTACATTCCTGCACATGTGCATGAGTGATTCAACATGGGAATAATTTCACATGTGCATGCTTTGAAGCGTAGCAATGTTATGTTGCATGCAGGAAAGGAGCAAATGTAAAGGGATACATGGTGTGGTCATTACTCGACAACTTTGAATGGTTAAATGGTTACAACATGAGATTTGGGCTTTACCATGTTGATTTCTCCACATTCAAGAGGACTCCAAAGCTCTCAGCTGATTGGTACAAAGGCTTCATTCAAAACTACAAGAAGCACCACAACATTTCATACACACAATCCCTCATTAAGAAGCCTTATGCTGCCTCCAAATAATAGCACTAGCTCCACCCCTTCCATTGCTTTCCTGCCCTTTCCTCTTGATGTATTATAAAAGAAAATCAGCATGATAAGAATGTATAAATCTATAGTTGCTATTAGCACAAGGTCCAGCTCTTCCATTGCCTTCTCATCCACTCTCTTCTTGTTGTACCATAAAAGATCCACACTTAATATCAGCTCGAGTTTCATAAGTTCTGATTCTTTACAGGCTCAAATGATAAGCTGGTACCTGAAATAAAACAAATGCAATCAGCCTTAGCTAAACTACGATTCCTTTCTTTTGTGCAAGTGCCACAGATAAACTATTATCAAGCACCAATGGTCATGAGAGGCAGAGAGAGAGAGCACCAATAGTCGTAAGAGAGAGAGAGAGAGAGAGAGAGAGAGAGATCTGGCTTGCTCTTGCATGTATCCACACACACATACACATGCATAAGCGCATGCAAGAGAGAGAGAGAGAAAGAGTATTACATTAATTTGCCCTATTTATCACAATGATCGCCACCATGGAGCTCTGGCAGTATAAAAGCATGCCCCACCATCCCAAGAGATCTCACATGCTTGAAGACCAATTGCCGCATTGGGTTCTTTCCCATGCTGAGCAATCCATTCCTCCACAGCTTCCCCTTTGCTTTCATCGCACATAGATTCTGAATTTGCCTCACAGAAGGGGTTGATATTTGGAAATGCAATCTCCTTTATTGAAGCAGGCAAGTACATTGTGTCTCCCACAATGGGTGCACCACATGCAGCCAATTGTGCTCTAATCTGCATAGGGTCCAACCTCAATTCACTGGTGACAAAAATATGTTTATTTTTCCTTATTGAATAACGAGACAAGATATGCTCGTCAAAAATCTAATAAACTAAAGAAAAAATGAACACAAGACCCATTTGTGTATTATCAGGTATATGTGCATTTAAAGGCTTTGGAGCCATTCTTGTAGAATTAGATGAGAGGAGAAAAATAAATACCAATCTGAATCTTTCAAAAGTTTAGAATACAATCAAGAACCGGGATACCTGGTGTGTTCGACCTGTCAAAAGATTAATTTTGCATTCATATGCGAAGTCTTTTGAGGGCCATCCACAATCTTCCACACCATTTTGGGCTTCAACTGCAGCCCTTGGCCATGGCACCTCTTTGCACTCAAGAACCTCTAGTTGGCAAAGATGCCATCCTCCAATATGATCTACAATAAAGAAAGAAAATCAAGTTCATGAAGACAGACAAAACACTAAAAAGACATTGAGAATGCCTTCCCCAGAAGTTTTCAATCTCTATGAAACAATGTTAATAAACTCAGCTCGGGCTTGGGATTCAACCCCTGCCCTAACCGAGTAACTTGGTGAAGTAGACTTGCTGAGTCCCGCACGAGCCAAAAACGAGCTCAAAAATCACCAAAACAAATTCAAAGTTTTTATTAAAATAACTAAAAATCAGCAAAAAAAAGTAAAATAAGTTATAAACATCATTACAAGGCTAGAAAAGATGGGAAAAAGCATATAGAAGATGGATTATGAAAAAAAATTGATTTATAGCTTGAAACAATTCAGAAAAATCCAAAGAAAAAGGAAAATTTGAATATTTAAGCATATAATAAGAAACATTCGCATCCCGAACGAGCCAAAAAAGGGCTAAAAAATCACCAAAACAAATTCAAAGTTTTTATTAAAATAACTAAAAATCAGTAAAAAAGAAAAATAAGTTATAAACATCATTACAAGGCTAGAAAAGATGGGAAAAAGCATATAGAAGATGGATTATGAAAAAAAATTGATTTATAGCTTGAAACAATTCAGAAAAATCCAAAGAAAAAGGAAATTTTGAATATTTAAGCATATAATAAGAAACATTTGCAAATCACCATAAAATAACTTAAAGGAAATGTATACAATGAGACCATTTACTTTTGATAAAGGTGGTCACAATCATGATTGACTGTTAGATTTGAAATTGGATAGTGGAGGTTGTGCCGTTGTTTAGGGCCTTTACGCACATACTCCCGAACAACATATCTCTAATGTTGTAATACACTTTCATCTATTGGATTGGCTAAAAGTGATTGTGACCTCCTTGTACCAAAAATAAATGGTCTCATAGAATACAATTTATACTTTAAACTTATATAGAGACACATTTTTAAATCATTTATTAATTATTTATTACCATTTTTTTTTTTTTTGAGTGAATTTAAGGAGCCTAGTTTATGTAAAATACTCGCCCTAGCAAGGTGTCGACGCTGAGTTATTCGACAGAGTTTTGAAACACGACAATGAAAATGTGAGGTATTATAAACCAGAAGTTTATACAAATAAATTAACCAGTAGTTTATACAAAATAAATTTATGGATGGCAATGGACAGTTTGGAAACTTTTTGTTTCGTTTTCTCCTCATCATCTTGGCAAGGCCCCTTGTGTCCTTTTTGTCAAATATGTTTTTCTTTCTTTATATACTTTGCCTTTATCTTTTTTATTGTTTGATTTCACTATATCTTTTGTCAACTATAGTTTAGCGAAACTCCTAACCAGACCAAAACCCAGCAGAGTAAAATATCGCCAAAAAACATATAGTTCCAATTGTTTAAAGAATTTACCTTGCAACATCAGTTAGGAGCCCATTTGGTCGCTCACTATTGACCCACTGCTTATGACTCTGCCACACAGAACATGCGTGGCAATACTTGCTAAGATTGACTGGACCACAAAAGTATTGGGTGGATTATTGGAAAAGTCAGTGACCAGCTCCCTATATCATGTTTAATGCTTGCTTAAAATTACAGAAACATTTTGGTAGTTTCTGGATAGTTAACAAATCCATACAACACATCACGAAATTGCCCTCTGTACAGTGAAAAACATCCTTGTTTTTGTGGACATATAGTTGATAACTTCTGAGGATATGGCCTTTAATATAGTAGAATGGAGAACTAGGATTCATGTAGCCGACCCCAATTAATTGGAAAAAGGCTAAAATGATGATCATGATGATAGTTGATAACTTCCCAAGACAATTATATTTTGCAAAGTTAAATCAACTAAATCTCAAATTAATTTACTGGTTGTAAGAGTCGAGTATTAAGCTCCCCTCACGATTTTAAACTTCCTGTAATTTAAAATTTTGAACAAGTTCCTGTGTTAAATCTTTGTTTTAGGGCATGTTTCTTAAGATATTTAACACAGGCACCAAATCTTTCCAAAACAAAACAGCAGGAAAGTAGCAGAAATGGAAGAACAACCCTTAGAAAATGGAAATTCCTGTTATATTTTCTGTAGGCAGATATTGAGTGTTACAAAGAATGGGAGAAAGCCACATCAATGCATCTATATGGTCAGAGAAGGGAGGTGTTTCACAATTGCAGGCTTTGTCACTGTGCAAATGCAACCTTATAACCATTAGTTGCATGATAAAATACATGGAAAAATTTAAAACCCATAACTATCAAAACTAGGATAGGGATGGATTTTTCAAAAGACTGCTATTTAAGTCAAGAAATGTAATGTAGTGCCAATCGCAAAGAAACTATAGTTATTAATTTTTCACTAGTCTTGCAAAGGAAATGAAAAATTGTCTAAATCACAAAGGAGAAAATTTGGCAGAGTATAACTAATAGAGCACCTAAAGTATGTAGTAAAACCCAGTGTTATTTACCTTTGGAGATGATTCTTGGGGCCCTATTTACTGGACGCATGTAGTGGGAAATTACCCCAACTGGCACTGGTGCAGTGGCAAGAGCTAGATACAACTTTTTCACCTGTTTTTCCTGAATATATAGCAAGATCACAAAGCATCATGAATTTATTGCTTGGAAAGTGTGATTTTTTAATCTTACCAATTTCACTGAAGCACAATAGTACATAATTCTTAATCGATAAGGATGATAACATATATGCACGTACCCGGATCTTTCCATGAAATATCGAGCAGAATTCCTTCGTTTTAGAAAATACAACACTGCATCCAAATAGCTTTTACACATCATGAGGTAGTGAACTTCTATGCACGTCAAACTCCAAGCAACATGGAAAGGGAAATATCTCACCAGCCTTCGGTGCAGTTATCAATCTGATGAGTAGTCCTCAAAGGAAAATCCAATCCTAAAGCACGAGAGACAAATGTAGCACAGCATTCCTCGATATTACATGGTGTTCCTCCCACCTAACAAAACAAATAAGCGATAATGCTACTATGCAATTTCTTGAAAACATTGATTAAACCCAATTGGATTAGATTCCTTACTCTTAGTTGTTGCATTGTTTCCTCCAAACTCATTCATATATTATCTAAAGGGAAAATATCCTACATGGCAGTTTCATGTGGAAAAAAATCGGGGGCACATACCAACACTAGTTGAGAAGTCTCAGGCTTGCATCAGTTCATGATTTTATTTTATGGTTGCTCTATTTTATTTTCTTGGAATGGGTAAGAACTTGTGATTCCTGAATCAGATTTTATACAAAAAATTTCTAGTTGCTAGAATAGCAAAGTAGGACCAGGAATAGGGGTTGAAGCTTTTTACAAAAATGTTGATGGAAAGATGTTAGATGCTTCTCAGATTCTTGGGAATGATAGATTTTACTTCATTTGATGCTGAATCATTACTTGGCAGGCTCAGAAGGACTAAGAATTTCTGCTTGCTTCATAAGGGCATTTAACATGACTACTTAAATATTGTAAAAATGGCATTAAAATGACGGTATAATCCTATGGAATGATGTTACGAAGTTCACATCAGAACCTGCTTCAGTTTGGCTTAGGTAGAAGGTAGAATGGTTATTTCATGGATTGGAAAGAACAATTCAGATTTCAAAATGGGAATAATTGAAAAATAGAAAAATTATGAAAAATAAAAATTATTTTGTTAAAATATGAATAGATGTCAAATAATTAAATCATTTGTATTCCTAAATCATTTGTATTCCTTTCTTTTATTTGTAAAAATCATTCATGCATCATGTTCATCATTTATATTAGAGAGTCATCTAAATTTGCAATAGAAGATGAAAGATTTATGTACAATCACTTGCAAGTCTACTTTACATCTAAATTCATGTACCCATGATAAAGCCTTGGTCTTCTAGTCCCCAACACTAAATTGCATGTTTTAGGAACTATTTGTCAATCAACATTTATAGACAGATTGGTTAGAAACCCGAAGAAACAAAATTCCCTGACAGTCAGGTAGCGATCTGCCAATAGCGCCTTTAGAGGGACAAAGTAAGCCAATGACTTTGACCGAGGCAAAATTCTTTTAGCATTGGGAACATAAAGAGCCAAACCGAATTAGCCCACCTCAATGACTGAGGTAAAGAGCCTTGGTATCTTCATGCCAGTTTTTTAGAATTTTACTCAAAATCTAACACTATTAGTTTATATCAGATAACCATGGAAACAATCTCACAAATTAATAAATGGGGTTGTTAGCAGAGATAGATTGTCTATTGGGCTTTCAAGCCACTCTAATTAATTTTACTTTCCAGAATTTCTTTTTACACTGACCTTTAGCTTTTGCTTTCTCCAATAAAATATATTACTTATCCAAAAAGAATGAACATAAACTCTGCAAAAACAAATTTTCCCATAGTTTATCAATCTTTATTTTTCTTTTTTAAATATATAGTCTAACTCATTATGGTTAAGTTATCACAGGCTAAGTTTTGTAACTGCAAAGGTCAGATTGTGTCCATAGCTTGTGTGACATTTAAAGGCATTTTCCTCCAGAAGAATTTGTATATGAAGATACTTTGATCAATGGAAAGGAAATCACTTCCATCATCAAAAATCTAAATATGATGCAAGGGTAGCTCGAGACCAACTTATCTTGGTTGAGTTCAACTCCTTCCCCAGAAATCTCATGAACAGTGCTTCCCCAATTCTTACTCTTAGCAACAAAAGGCTGTACTTATGCACCTTCAACTCAAATGTCAAATTTCAAATGGAGTTCTCAACCAATTTTACAATAACTCAACAAAATGAAGAGCATCTTTGTGCCCTCAAGGATGATATGATCAAGATCAATGCTCTAGTTGTTCTTCCTTCCTCCATCCAGCACTTAATTGGTACTCGTTTCCCACAAATGGTACTTATTGTACTATCAATAATCTACATAACATCTCTTACTCCTGTTAATAATGTACTCTTTAGGATAAAATGTTGGAAACATAAATAATTGATTTTTCTTCTATTTTTCTTACTCCTGTTAATAATGTACTTTTTAGGATAATATGTTGGAAACATAAATAATTGATTTTTCTTCGATTAATAGAAGGAAATTTTTTTGAGGAGCCTGTCAACTCGTGCATCCGCACTGGTTTTCAAAGGTTTTAGGACCTGAAAGACATCCAACCTCAATGCAAATCCCCTTCCCCCTAAGATCCATGAATAATAGAGCTCCAAAAACAGCACAGTTCTGATATTTGAAGAATTTGAAATGAACAGTCCAAAAGAAGGTTACAAATAGAGCAGTTTTAAGGCTCAAAATTCCCTTTTTTTTTTTTTTTCATATTCATGACCATGGCAGTTGAGAAGATAGATCTGTAAAGATAGACTTCGGAAGGGTGAATTCACTAGGATGGATGTGTCCTCAGATGCACCTAAACCTTATGTTATATAAAACTATACATCCTCTCAAGCTTCTAATTACAGATGTGAGGGTTTTTGTGCTTGCCTCCCTTCAGACTAGAGTCATTGCTAGGTATCCCTTCTGATTTACGTGTATTTACTTTCTCGAGCATAAATTACTTCCTAAATTTTAGCAATTTAAATTGGTTTGTAGAGAAACACAATGAGTAGGGAACTTAAACGCTAAAATCATGGAGATGAAACTTCTTTTCCATTATTCATTTCATATGATCTCAAGCAATTGAAAGTTTGCACCATATTTTGCAACAGCATTTCAAGCATTACTCTGACTTACAATAGAGTGGTGGTAAGCATTGCCACATTTCTAAATCTACATTATCTCTATTGTTTCAAAGCAGTATTCCTCTGCACCTGTGGTGTGAAAAGCTCTATAATATTAACTTCTATATTCCCTCAAGATTCCTGTTGGTGTCTCTCCTCATCAAATGCTCATTGAATATGTCCTGAATTACGTTTGTTCTCACACCCTCATTTGTTGCTGCTACGTCGACCTCACTGTTCAAACGCCAAACTACATCCCGAAAGTGCCCAGAGCACGTCAGCTCCATGAGACCAGAGTGGACGCGCGAAGTCCAGCAAAAAACCTCAAAAGATCCCATGACTTGTTGAGTCCCAAAGGCTTAAAAAATCCAAGGACCAAGTCCCCCAAAGAGGCTAAAAGAACCCAAAAAATTTGGGGGAATCCAGAAAAATAAAAAAGAAGGAAGAATCATAAAAAAATAAAGAAAAACTATATACAAAGCTAATCCAAGTTGTTGAATTTTTTCAGCTAAACCTTATTTCAAAATTCAAAATCTCACAAGTTCAACATTTTGAGAGCTTTTCGTGAAATTTAAACCTAGGATTTAGTAGAAAACACACAAGTAGTCTATGGGATGCATTTTCTGGGTGGATCACACTAGGGTTCAGAAATCAAGCAAAGAAAAACTTCAACCAGACCTTGGTTCAAAAAGAGAATCATGCCAATTTGAATTTTTTTTTTTTTTGGCTGAATTTGATGTTTGGATTTGATAGAGGATGGAAAAATATGCCTAGGTGTGAATCTCAATAGAGATCCTACCACAAACAATGAATAAAATGGAAGATAGGGGGGTCAGATTTCTCCAACTGCCAGCCCGCCCCATTCCCTTTTATATAAAAAGTACCATTGTGACGTGTTTTGTGGGATCACCCAAGTCGGACAGGTACTCACCGCAGTTGCAGTGAACAGGGTGAGTATCATTACCAACTAGCCCCAGCAAGTTGGGGATCTGTGTCCTAGTCAGACTTGGAGAGCTTTCAAACACTGGTTGATATGAAAAATAAATCAGTAAAGGATATTATCATCACAGACTGAAGTACCATGGTTGCTTCTAAGGATGAACACAAGAATAACAGGCATTAAGCTACTCATGCCAAGCATGTTATTGTTTTGAGATTGAATTCTCTGGAGAAGTGCCTCTAAGCCACACCTAGTGAGCCTGGAGGGAGTCGCAGACCACAACATGGTTCCCTTCCTAAGCTAGGCTTGCTAGAAGTTGTCCCTACTGCATGCCTTCTCTAGCATGATGCAAGCTGAGTGCCCTCCAATATGATAGACGAAAGTTACCAAATGAAACTAAATAACAATGATCCAAGGATGAAGAATTAGGAGCTGTTTGGAAACCACCCAAAATGTGGTTTACAAGGCTTTTTAGCGGCTTTGACACTTGTAATCAACACAGGGTATTCAGGCCCCTTTGCATGTCACCCATGTTTATGAACCACCCACAAATAGAACTCCTATTTGTGAGTGGCTTGAGTATGGGAAACCCAAGATCATTGTACCCATGTTTTATGCAGAGGCCACTGACAGATAGCGCAACTACACTCTTACTAGCCAAGACACAAAAACAAGCCTTTAATTAATTATTAAAAGTTATCATAATTATGATTCAAACATTTCTTGCTAGATTTTACTATCACCCAATGCCATTGCACCTCTATAAATACAAAAATGCTAAGAAAACAATAATTCTTGCCCATGCTAGTTATAATGAAGAAAGCTTCTAGAGTCCTATCCTACTCCTTGTTATGCTTCTAATGGAACTTAATGCCACTAGGCCTCTGAACTATATAGATAGCTCTATCAGGAAACAAAAAATAAAATAAAACTAACTAAATATCAAAACAGAAACAGTCTAAAAACAATCATAAGTAAGGAGTTCCCTAAAATTTATTGAAGAACTTGCCTTGCTTGCTAAAAACAATAATGACCAAGTCTTAGCACTCGAACTCGTATGTATCCTTCATGTAAGAACGTCATGTGCAAATTAGGGGTTATTATGATCACAGTCATCAATTGTCCTAAATTAAGTTGGTGAATCATGTATAACCATATGTCACATCGTCGCAGTCATGGTTTCCTATATACTTTACAAGTCCCAGCACGTTTAGTAGTTGAGGCACCTATAAGCTAGGAGTCCCAAGATTCTGATTATGGAGGTCCTTGCTGCCTGGAAGTCCTCCTGACATGAAATTTACTCCAAACAAGCCACAATGTCCTTAATTTTGAAGCAAAATTGTTGCTTCAGAATCATCATTATCCAAGCACAGTTCTCTGCCATTTTTATTCAAAATTCATCAGTTCTTTGCCACTCTTCAAGATCCCTACAAACTGAGGATCTCAAAATTTTGTTGATCAGCATCAATGAGAAGCAACTGGTCTGTCTTTTTTTTTTTGAATATGAAGCACTTTGGTTTTTCCAGAACTAGAAACCCAAGATACCTATAGTTCTAGGCATGGTTGAAAAAACACACTGGGTCAAACCTGAAACTCTACCAGGTTGACCTGACCCACAATGCCAGCTCGTGAATATGGCCATTAACTTAGCCTATTTAATCGGGCATCCATTTTCTTGTCTACAGTATAGCATCTTTAATATTCTTTGCTCCCCAACTAATGGTATGTGGCAACTCATAATTATCACTTTCTAACGTAGTGTACTTTAAATTGTTATCACTTTTACAGTAGGATAGGATTAAATTTATACCAATGTTTCCCTTATCATCATATGTTTTCTTGCTACTGCCAACCCGAAACGCGGGTGGCAATATCACAGCAGAAATTCCACCAAGTATGCTTAAAACAAAAACATGCCTACCGTATTTGATCCCCTATTATATGACACATAGGTCATCCCCTGTTATATTACACAGAGATGGTACTTTTTGGAGGATCATCTATATAGTTACCTACCCAAAAGTAAATACCATCGCATATTTAATTTAGGCATATTGATAGCTATACTGCTTCTAACATCTGGGATGCACTTTCTATAGGTCTGCACCCCTAGTTATTGAACTAGGGATGCAGCCTATAGTTGCCAGGATCTCCCAACCTAGGCAGTGATCCCACTCCAGAATCTCGCTTCTACTCACTAGCAAAGGGACCTGCATGGGACCTTGATTATTAAATTATGGGATCTCAATATACACCTTAAAGACCAAAGACAATCATCAGTCACTGATGATTTTCTTCTTTTCTTTTTTATAATAAGTAAGCCATGCGGCCATACTTTTAATATAGTTGCATTCTTACTGGTTACAAATAAAGAGATATATACTTTAAAGAGTATATATAAACCTAGACTATATTTGCCTTTTATGGTTGGAAGCAAGATCCTCAAAAGGTTGATTGACATCCCAAATTGGGATCGAGATCCCTAATATTTGGTGATTTCAATCCTTAATACATGCGTTGTATGGACAAACCTCTCAACCATAGGGATCTTTTAGTCTTTCACAATTTCTCCTCCTGCACTCAACAACTATGCCGCAGCCATCGGCACTATCCATTTATTTGGATGACTTAGACTTTGCACATTACCCATTAAGGAAAACTGGTTCTCTCTTTCTTTTCAACCACAATCTTCTTACTCTCTAAACGTCTACCCCTCTATCAAACATTTCTCAGTGAACATCACCTCTAGTTCTTTTCTAGGGTTTCTCCCTTCTCTGTGAGTTTTTCTACAGTTCTCCCATATTTCGAGAAATTCTCCAGTGTTTTTCCCTTTTATTAGAGTCTGTAAGTGATCTTCTTATTTAATTCTTTAATAATGTCCTTGCTGTTTCATCATACCGAGATAGAACTTGGAGTTTCATTCTTTGTCAGATCGATTGAAGAAATCCAGATTTTGCTGGAGATAGGCCAGAAATTGAACCAGATGCCTCTTCTTCAATTGTCATTCCAATCCAATTTCAATAAAAAAGCATGTTGGTTTTTTTTTTTCTGAATATATATTTTTTGCTTGGTTTTCTTTTTGTTTTCTGCTTCTTTCCTTGTTATTGGAGAATTTGGATTTTTTATGAAATTGATTTATGTGAGCCTGCCATGGTTTTTTTAGTCCAAAATAGGAGATGGATTTTGGCGAATTTAATTGTTGGAGGGGGACAGAGAGGGTTTTAGTCTCTGACTTTTATTGTTTACATGATTTTATAATCAAAATTTCAGTCATGAATTGAATTTTGAGAGAATGGATCTCACATATTGCATTGATTTTCTCTGTGTGTGTGTGTATATGGAAAATGCTGAGATTAGCCGACTAGCTCATATGAACAGATGAGTCCAACGGCCTAGATTGAATTTGGGTTGATCTGACAATCACGACTTCATTTCGTATGTGAATTTTAATTTTTGTTTTACAAATCTAAAAATAACTTGAAATTTTAGGCGTCTATTCTTCTCATCAAGACGCACCTAATAAAAATATTTAAAAAATAATTCGTAAAAAATAAATTGACCAAAATACACCCGAAACTTTTCAAGGGTATTTTGATCAATTTATTTCTTGAAAATTATGTTTTTTTGATATTTCTATTAGATTCTCCTATTTTTGAAAAACACATGCCTAAAATTTCAAGTTATTTGGATTTGTAGAAAAAAATTAAAATTAAAATACAGAATGGGGCCGTGACCGTTAGATCGGCCCGGATTCAATCTGGGCTGTTGGGCTCATATGTTCATATAAGCTAGTGGCTAATCTCAGCATTTTC